TTAATAGCTCAAGTATGACTCTTCCCTTACGATGTTTATTTCAAAATATACAGTTAACCCATCAATTCCTCATAATATTGCAGTGCCCCACTTCTCTACTAGGCCAAGATATTTCTTTCTTTTTAAAAAATATTTTTATTGTTTTTCATATAATTCCTTTACATTATGTTTCATTCATATACATTGTGTTTTATACAATATTTCATTTACATTGTTTCATACAATCACTCACATACCTGCCACTATATATTATTTCTTAACTGGGTTGTTTGCAAAGTATATATATATATACTGTGTTTTTACACTATTCTTCATTCACATTGTTTCACTCATTCTCATGCATTGTTTTTTTTAAAATTTATTTTATTATTTTTTGTGCATGTACCGTCAAATCAGATCTGACTGGTACAGGAGGAAATTATCCCTTCTTCTCCAGCAGAGCATCTGGTGGATTTGAACCGTGTGTACCTTTGGGATTGCAGTATAGCTTCTTGCTACTAGGCCACCAGAGCTCCCCTCTCATGCATTGTTTTATAAAATTAATCACCATTGGACTGTGCCTATTACCCTGTCTTTTCACCCAGATCCTTCCCATTTGCTTCCCCCCTCCCTCCACCTACCAAACTGTGCAGCTCTGTGGTTTCACCCTTACCTACCCTCACCTCTCCACCCTGCCTCTTTGAATTCCTGTACATGTTTTACTAGCTATCCTTCTATTTTTACAATAATGATCTATGCAGTATTTGTCCTTATGACTCTGTGTTAGTTCACTCAGCATAATGCTCTGCAGCCTCTCCCAAGTTGTATACTAATTTTCAAAATTATTGCTCCTGAGTGATGCATAGTATTCCACTGTGTGAATGTACCACAATTTCTCAATAATTTTGTTTTAATTGGACATTTGGGCTGTTTCAAGTTCTTGCTATGGTGAATAATGTGGTTATGAACACTGGTGTACAAATCTCCATTTGTGTCCCACTTCTAATTTCCTTGGGGTATATTCCTAGTAGTGGAATAGCTGGGTCATACTGAGTTTCTGTGTTCAACTTTTTCATTTCTTCCCCTCCCCGCCCTTCTTGTTGTATATCATCGAATCTGATCCAATTGACACAGAAGGAGATTGACCCTCCTTCTCCATCAGATAATCTGGTGGTTTCCAACTGCACACCTTCGGGATTGCAGTGCAGCTTCTTGCCACTAGTAGGCTGAGATATTTTAAGCATATTTAAAGCTTCTACAACCCTCACCCTCATCCCCAGTCCTAGTCCAATACTACTTTTTCTTCTGTGCTTAACTCCTGATGAAAGTTCTCTCCCCATCTCCACTTTTCCCCTGCCACCCCATCAAGTTGATCCTATAGTTTGGGATACCTCTAATCCATCAGTAGCTACACCTCACACTCCTATTCATATTAAATGACCAAACCTCCTTTCCATGCATTCCCCAGTACCCCATCAGTATAAGACATCTCCAAGGACTGAGGCCCATTATAACTAACTTCCTTAAAACTGGTATTTTAATTCCCACTCATTCTCCTTACAACACTCCTATACTTCCAGTAAAGAAACCAGATGGCACATACTGCCATGTGCAAGATCCCTGAGCTATCAATAATTTCAAACAACCAGTACATCAAGTAGTGCCTAATCCATACTCTCTTCTCTCCACGATACTTTCCCTTCTATGGTGGGATGGCTACTGCCCTTTGTACCTCTTATACTATTGTTTATTCTTACATTAACCTGTGGGCCATGTTTACTCAAATTTTTTTAACTAATTTTTTGCAGAAGCAGTTTTGCATATTTATCAACCAAACCATCATACATCAGTGCATGATGAAGTACACACTGCTTACTTCAAATGAGACAGCATAGCATACCCGCCTCCCCTAAACCACACTATGCCCCTATCCAGCAGGAAGCAGCCAGAAGACCTCATCATCCCCTACCACCACGGAGGTGGGAATGTTAGGCTAAAAATAAGAATGGTTGGATTTCAACTTAGAAAATCCTATGTCAGGATTTTCAAAACCGAAACTCAGAAATTTCCCTATCAGGACTTTTCCCCAAATCAGAAAATCCAGAAAGTTTATGTACCAATGAACTACTGCAACATCAACTCATCTCACAACCCCTTAAAACACACTCGCTAAAACCCCATAGAAGCTCTCCCAAGCCCAACTCCCAGCACTACTTCCCTTGCTGAGTAGCCCTATGTGCAATCAACTTTGAGGAATATTTCTACCTCGGCATGGTTCTTGGCTTTGATCTGAAACCTTTCACCTTCATGAAGGTTCACAACTTCAGAAACCTGATAGAGGGTTGCCATCAATTGAAATGAACCTGATGGTAAAGTATTCGAAATACATCACAATGTGTAAAGAATGAAAACATGAAGAATGAAAATCTTGCAATAAATTTTAAAAAGAATGAAAATACTTTTTCTTCAAATATGATAATACTCAATAGTTTTGTGTGTACCATTTAAGACCCTTTTCCTAACTATATTCTACCAATATAAATGTAAAAATAGACATATATTTAAGCAGAGTATTTTAAAAATGAAAAGCAGAATAATGTATTACATTGTTCTACAACATGCCCACTTTTTACATAATAAAATATGAAGAACAACTTTCTGTAAAAATGCAAAAGAAAATAAGGTTACACTTTCTTTGTGCCATCTTCCATCTTTGTTCAATTTTATATTATAGGTATGCAAGCTTCAAAATTAATTGAGAAGTAATTATATTTTCCTATGACATGAGGCGTGTAACATAGGGATAGTCTAATGAAAGAAAGTATATCAGGAGTGATGTACAAATCCTTCTATTATTTTTGGGGTTTTTTAGGTCTTCTCTTTTCTCCTAAGCAAATTTTAGTAATTGATGTTTTGTGTGTAAAATTATTTTCATCTTCACATAGAAATATATTAGTATACAACTTTTATCATTTAAATGAACTGTCTTTTTATCTAATTATATACTGATTTCATTTCACATGCACTGCTTCTTTTTTACGTTTCTTGATTTTTCAGAAGTTTGTCTGTTTTAATGTTCTTGTCTATGAGCTAATTTTACATTTTTTACAATCATATCTGTTTATATTTTGCCTTGTCTTTCCTCTGTCATTATTCTTTTTTGCCTTTAATATTTTTTCCTTTTATTTTGCTGTGCTTTGTTCTGAGGTTCTCAAGTTTAATACTTGTTATTTTCCCCCAGTCTGTTTCCTAATAAAAACACTTAATTTAGGGCTACCTGAGTTAGCTAATAACAATACAAACCACCCAATTAAAAATTTTAATATCAGAAAACAAAGACTTTCTCAGGATAAGTACCTCCAATGCATAAAATCATTTATGTAAAATTCAGATTTTCCTCTGCATTGTATATTTTATCTGAGTACAGTTTGGAAGCAGGAGTAGCATCCACTTCTGAAATAGTTTGCCTCTGGAAACTCTATGAACTTGGAGAAAAAAAATTAAAGTTATATAATTGTTCAGATCTTTTGTTCATTAGGTCACTATGAGTTGTCTGCAACTTGACAGCACTTAATAACACCATCACCAACATAGAGTTCTGCAGACCTGGTTGATAGCAAGTTATGCTACCAACTCAAAGGTGAGTACTTGAATCTGCAGCCCTCAGGCCTAGGGTTTAATTGTTTTTGGTCAAACATTCTTCTAAGTGGTATAGCACTGGTCTATACATTTGCTGTAAAGAGGTAACTTGTGGTTACTGAGATGCTAAACACTGTGACACTGATGCATCAAATGTGATAATGGTTACCCATGGTGGACAGTGTTTGGTGGAGCTCCCTGATTAAAACAGGCTTGGAAGCAGGAGTGGCATACACTTCCGAAATAGCTTGCTTCTGGAAACTATGAACTTGGAGAAATGATGAAAGTTGTTATACAATTGTTCAGGTCTTCTGTTCATAGGGTAACTATGAATCATCTGTGACTCAACAGCACTTAAGTAAAACAATGAAAATAAAAACAACTCCAAATTTGCCTTCTGCCACATAGTGCCTTCACATATGACTTTTATATTATGCATTTTAAATAGTTTGTAGTTTTATTTTAAAAATTTCTGTGCATTTTAAGTAGTCTGTAATTTCTTAAAAAATTTCATATGTAACTCACTGTTTTAATTGTACACTATTGAGTGGAAACTGACCCATAGCTGACTCTCTAGTGAGTTTTCAGAGGCAGGTTCATCACATAGGAGGCGATTGTCCGTCTTTCTCCCAAGGAGTATCTGGTGGATTTGCGCTAACTAACAATTAGAAAAATATGTAGGCAAAGATATTTTTAAAATTTTAAGTATTTATATCGGATAAATAACATATAAAAAAACCCATCAATACTGGGTTGATTCTGACCCACAGCAACTCTTCATGCAGAGCTGAACGAACCCATGGGCTTTCCAAGGCTGTATTCTTTATAGAAGCAGATAGCATCTGCTTGCATAGGCTTTCCCCATTGGCTTAGAAAGTTCCATAGGCATTCCAAGGCTTTTTTCTTTATAGAAGCAGATGGTATCATCTTCCGTGGAGCCACTTTGGGGTTGAAACTATCAATCTTTTAGTTAGCACTCAAGTACTTGAACCACTGTGCCACCAGGGCTTCAGTCTAATCAGAGCAATGATGAAGTGATGTCTTCTACCTGTATTGTTGTTCTTACACTTTAAAATACACCTTTCACTCAGATTGCTGACTTTAAACACTTATTGGGATCTCAAGAATGGCATTTTTCATTTCCTCTTAGAAAGAGAGCAAGTCAGGAAAGTTATCCCTTTATCAGTAAGTTGTTTTTAGGTGTCATCAAGTTGAGTAAGACTCAGTGACCCTGTGAACATCAGTCTGAACCCTGCCCTATCCTATCACTTTCTCATCATCTCAGACATATTTGAGCCCATTCACATTCTGGAAATGTACATGCCGAGTTGACTTGACAAATGAGAATGAGAAAGAAAAGAATCTTGCCTCTTCTTCTTCCTCTTCTTCTTCCTCCTCTTCTTCAAGTTCCTCATCCAATTCTGCTTCAGCCTGATAGTCTTCAGTTTCTTCATCATAATCTTCTATAGTTAACTCCCATGCGGAATATTTAAATGGTTCTGTAAAAGAAATAAATAAAACCAGTTAGGAATATATTTATACAATAAAAAGATATGTCATATACACAAGCTAGAACAATTAATTATCAGGACCACTCTCTTTGGTGAAAT